TTTTGCATGCTGCCGAGTCCGGCCTTATTGGCTCAGACGTTTTTCTGAATTAGGCCGATAATAATTACGATTTTGTAAAATTTTATATAACTTTTCTTCTCAGTTTAACCCAATCTACTATAATCTTTGGGGTCGTCCATATCGAATCTGACACCCTGTATAAAAAATATATAGAAAATTTGCATTTTCCAAAGGTATTATCTAAAAACACCTCTATTTATTTGTTACTATATCTCAGACATCTAAAAAGGCCTTTCTCTAAAACAGAAACTTTCAGACAATAAGAAAGAACTTGGACAATAATGGTCTTCCTTAGTATCCAGACAACAATTTAGTTGTAAAAATGGATATATATTTAAATAACCGACAATACTGTGTGAGCAGACAATAAATAGAGTTAGGAAATGTTCCATGATGGACAATAAATTATTTATTAAGGATAACACTAAGGAATTACTTATAAACTTAGGATATACGAAAGTGATTAGCTAATATAATTATAATATATAATTATAATATATTATATTAAATAATCTAATAATATTGTCTTAATACAGTAGTATATTACAGTCAAGAATTTAATTTATTCTTTCGTGCTGTAGTGAAGAGCATGTAACACTTCTTTACATGCGTTTCATTTGTATCATATTATAAAATATTTTATAGCATAGATATATTATATCCATATTATACATAAAATATATACATTAATTAATACATTGCTTTCGTACAAATTCAAAAACAGTTAAGAATTAGACAATCAGGAATGGTGGAATATTATTTTTATAATCGTCTGTTATATCTTATTAAATAGTTAATGAGCTTGTTATAAGCTTTGTTATATTATCGTTCTAAGTTAACAGACAGTAACTGCCAAGTAAAACTTTTCCTTTTTACATTATGTTTTGACATCTCCTATATATAAACTTATCCTATTTTTACTATAAATTCAAAGTGATACTTATTATTTTTATTTTACATCTTGTTCGACTTTTTAAGGATTTCAATTCTATGAATAAAATGTATATATTGTTAAAATTATGTATATAAAATATTATTCGTTGTATTTTATTTTATCATTACACAGTAAGCAATTATATTTGTTGGACGTATCATATTACATTATTAGCATTTTATAAAAACATAAATGTTTCTGAAACCACAGATGTGTAAACAGAATATTG